AAACAAAATTAAAAATCGTTGTCTAGGTAGCGATTTGAATTTTTTTTAAAAAAAAAAAAGTTACATTTTGCAAAATCGCTGCAGTAGCAGCGATTTTGCTTTTTCCGGTGGAGTAAATTGTTGTTGTTCCAGTGATTTTGCCGTTTTGGTTAATATAAAATTTTATATACCGTTTTAGAATTTTTGTTAATATTTTATACCTTTTAGGCTCCGAACTCTATGTTTAACATAATCCATCGTTTACTTGTCAATATCTTCCATTGTTGTAAACATGTGATTTATAATCTTGAAAATGAGACATTGCTCCATTGCATTCAAAAATATAATCAAGTATGTAAGTGAGAACTCAACAGGATTCAGAATATAATCAAGTATATACATATGTAATTTTTCAATAAAAACATTCCTTTGGCATCCGAGTTAGCTTCACCCCAAGTGAAATATGTAATCTGATGGTGTAAATATTTCTTACAATTATGATAGTGTATATAACTTAAATTGTAACCTCGTTAGAGATGATATCATCCGTGATCACACTTATTACTCTTCTCCTCAACAAGAAAAGTAAACGATGAGAAGTTGTGATCATTGACAAGAAAATGCCTTACGTACGTCAAACAAGCGAAAGAAGTCGTTTTTCTCTTCTTCTTTTTTTTTATAGATTTCACTTGTTTTGATTTTTTTTTATTGCGTGACTTAAATTATTTTGTTTTTAAATTAATTTTTCTTCTTCTAAATTATGACTTCCACTTAGTTTGCTTTTGAATTCCATTATTATTACGCGTTGCGGTTAAATTGAAGCGCCATTTATTTGACCAAAAATGGACATTGAAATAATATTATTTTATATACTATCATAATAGTATTTCAAATTACTCGTAATGGAATTAAAGTCACATCGTATATATCTTCCACGTAATATAAGTAATAAAAACATTTTGAGAATTGCAAATGATCACATTTTCTAAAAAATAATAATAAAAAAAATAATTAATTCGAGTATAAGGTCATTAAAAAAATCTTATACTGAATTTGAGTCACATTGCATATATCTTGCACAAAATACAATACATAAAACATTTTGAAAATTAATCTGATTGATTTTTAAAGCTATATATCGAATCATATGAATCCATTTTAGTTTAAATTTGAGACATCTATAGAAAGAAAATCAAGTTCAATACACTTCTATTTTCAATCATTTTCTCTAAAAAAATTACTATGTTAACTTTATCCCTCTAATTGTAATTGACCAATTTTTTCGTACCATTTTGAAATAAAAAATTTGGTCAATTTTTTGCTACTACGTGTTTTTAATCTTAAAAAACAACTACTCTTATTTAAAATATGTATAATCATTAAATATATTTTAAGAGAATCGAAACTTACATGCATATTCCCTAATTATCATAATTTCTCCTATAAATACTCTTCACTTCCCATTCTATCAAACACATTAAATTATTATCCATCTTTATAATAATTCACATATCTAAAACCTTAGCCTATATATATATATATATTTTTTTTTTTCTCCTTTTTAATTTTCTTTGCGAGTAACATGGATTTGGGGCAATTAATGTTGAGAGAAACTCAAATAATAGATCACAATAATAAGGAAAAAAAGTATAGTAATTATAATTCTAGTGCTACTTCTTCAATTGCTTCACATGAAGATTTGAGGAGTAGAATTGAATCATTTCATATGCTAGAAAAGGCTAATATTTCTAAGACTGAATCTACAGAAAAGAAACTTTCATGGCTACGTTCACAGATTATTGGTGAAAACGTCGATTTCGAATCGCCTTTTGGGAAACGTAGGCTTACTTATGCTGATCATACTGCCTCTGGAAGATCCCTTCACTATATCGAAAACTATATCATCAATAACGTCCTTCCTTTCTATGGTATGTTCGTTTATCTTACGTACGTACTCCTTCATCCTTAACCAGAAGAGAAAGATAACAACTATTGTATTATTTTGTACAGGTAATAGTCATACTAGTGATAGTCATGTGGGATACCAAACAACAAAATTAGTGCATGAAGCAGCTGCTTATGTGAAGAAATGCTTAGGTGGAGGAGATGAAGATGCTATTATATTTTGTGGTTCTGGTTCTACTGCTGCTATCAAAAGGCTACAAGAAGTTATGGGGATTTCAATCCCTTCTATACTAAGAGAAAAAGTACTCACAAAATGCTATCGTAATGAAATGAAAGAGAGATGGGTGGTGTTTGTTGGACCTTATGAACATCACTCTAACATTCTTTCATGGAGACAAAGTTTAGCTGAAGTTGTGGAGATTGGATTGAACGAAAACGGGCTAGTAGATATGGAAGCATTGAGGGATCAGCTTGAGTTGTATAAGTCTACGAATAGACCATTGTTGGGTTCGTTCTCAGCTTGTAGTAATGTTACTGGGACTTATTCTGATACAAGAGCTATCGCTCGTCTACTTCATAGAAATGGAGCTTTTGCTTGCTTTGATTTCGCAGCAAGGTATGCTAATAGAGTTAAGACTTCTATATACTGACAGTACTAAGTATGTCGCGAAAAGATGACTAATATATGGTGTTGTGTTGCAGTGGTCCATACGCGAAAATAGAGATGAGATCAGGAGAGATGGATGGATATGATGCTGTTTTTATTAGTCCTCATAAGTTTCTTGGAGGTCCAGGCACACCTGGAATTCTTGTAATGAACAAAGCACTCTATAGATTGAGAACTTTACCTCCATCTACTTGTGGAGGAGGTACTGTTGATTTTGTCAACCCCTACAATGAAAAGGTAAAGAATTATGAATTTAATTTTATATATTTTGTATTGTCCTTTTCATTCTTATAGATCTAGATGTCCTTTTCTCCTTTATTTGTGTCAATTGTGAGTTGGCACAATTTGTCCAAAGAGGTTGATGGATGAATTTGACTGTCATTTATTAGTGACATAGAGTTTCTTGTCATTTTCCTTCTAGAAATATTTGGGATAGTTGATAAGTAGACTAATAAGTCAAATAAAGAATTTCAGACAGGCAAAATTCTTGTACTTGAAAAAAATGATTTGACTTTTAGATTTAGTGGCACAATGGCATGACATTTCAACAACCAACTGTAAATTGAGTTGTAAGTGCATGCTCTCTTCTTCCATTACCAGTCTCTAGATATATTTAAAGGAAATACGTCATCAACATACACAGTATAGTTCCACAAGTGAACCCAAAGAAGAGTATGATATACGTGACCTTACCCTTATCTTTGTAAAATAGAGAGGTTGTTTCAAATAGACATCATATTTAAATAAATAATGGAGAAGAAATTAAGCTATAGTAGAGAAATTCAACTGCTTTTGTAAAGTTTCTATCTTTGTGTGTTGAAATTTTCTTTCTGCTTAGCTCTCATGATAATTCTGAAGCTAAAAGTCTCTTATGATGTGCAATAAAATTACTAGGACACACTCTATGTGGAGAATATTGAAGAAAGGGAAGATGCAGGAACACCACCAATTATTCAGAAAGTGAGAACAGCACTTGCATTTTGGGTGAAAGAGTTCATAAGTCACAAAATAATTGAAAGAATGGAACACACTTACATTGAACTTGCACTACAAAGGCTTCTCCCAAATCCTAACATATGGATTTTGGGAAATGTAACAGCAAAGAGACAAGCTGTGCTTTCTTTTCTCATTTATACTACAACTTACTCTTCGTCAAGTGATGGGAGTGGTGAAGACAATGAGTTTTACTTATGGAGAGAGACGGGGAACAAGAAAGATAAGCCACTTCACGGCCCTTTTGTTGCTAAGCTGCTTAATGACCTATTTGGTATTCAAGCTAGAGGAGGATGTGCTTGTGCAGGACCCTATGGGCATATCTTGCTCAAGGTTGATGAACCTCGTTCTCTAGCGTTCAAAGATGCAATTGAGATGGTGAGTGCCTCCACATATGTTTTCTACACTCCAAAACATTATTTGGTAGTCTAACACGAGTTTTCTTTGTCTTAACAGGGCTATAGTGGAGTGAAGCCGGGATGGACAAGGGTCAGTTTCCCCTACTACATGTCCAAGGAAGAATTTGAGTTCATTCTAGCAGCATTAGAATTCATAGCCATTTATGGACAAAGGTTCCTTCCTATGTACCATTTCAACTGGAAGAGTGGTGCTTGGACTTTCAAGAAAAAAGCTTTCAAGGAGGCACTCATAGGAAGAGATCACCATTGCAATTTTTGTGGCTCACCAATGAAGGGGTTGAACCTAGGTTGCCACGACACTGAAGAGAACAACCATGTAGAAAGCCCCGCAAAAGAAGGTCTCATTTGCAAGTACGTAAAGTACCTTGAAATAGCCAAGCGCATTGCTAGCCTCCTTCCCAAATTCCCAGCTCAACGGTCCATACCTGAAGAAATAAGCCCTAACCTAGTACCCTTCAGAGTCTGAAGATTGAAATCACATCGCTGAGCGTATACTTTTGGAAAGAGAATGCTCTTTCTCACTCTCCAATATGATCATGTAGTTGTCTAATCTTTGGTTGGGCAAATACAAGGGTAATTACATGTAATAAACTAGAAGGATACGATGGCATGAGTATACTATACTTCAATATTTTCTTTCTTCATGTAATAAACTAGAAGGATACAATGGCACAAGCATGCATTACTTCAAAAAAAAAGTTCATGTAATAACTAGAAGGATATGATGGCATGAGTAAACTATACTTCAATATTTTCTTTTTCCTTGTGATTGTTATGAAATTCATGTTTAATTGATTAGAAAAGGTATGTTCATTCTCATTGTAGGGAAAGATCATGCCATAGTCTAACATTTAGTTGGACAAACAAAAATAGGAAGAATATATATTAAACTAGAAAGAAGAGCCTGGGACTAACACTCTTTTTAGTATCTTTTGTATCTTCTTGATGCCTTAAATGAATCATCTTCATAAATATTTTTTTAAAAAAAAAACTAGGAAGAAGAAATGATTTTGAAGATTTAGGTACCCCACAAGCAATTTACAAAGACATCAAACAGTTTTGCTCCTTAATTCCAATATAACATCATTTGTTTACAAGATAAAGAATGAAAAAAAGAATTGGAGGAAGAGGGACCGAGGAAGAGGGCGAAAGACGGACAATAGAAGTGTCATAATGCATATGTACCGAGATACTTAATCACTAGTCTAATGTAAGAAAACAAAAGTTAGCTAAATTGGCCAACAAATAATTAAGAACAGAGAAATTGAAGCCGAATAAGATGGTAGAAAATATATGATTTCAGACATTTAGATGACTGAGAACAAGAGAGACCTGCTGGCTGGAAGCAGACAAGAAGCACCCCTTTTACTTTCTTACTCTCTAGAACTGCATATACACTCTGGATATGGATTTTGGTAAAATGACTCTTCCAGTCTTGACCTTGCTCGACCTCTGACTCCCGGGGGAGCTCCAGCCCTCTTTCTTGGAGCACCTTGCCTACAAATTGCAATATGTGTAATGATTTAATTAGAAATCTGGAATTTATCAGTTATCAAGCAAACTTCAACATGGTTATAATTGTTGAAGGCTTCACAATTCCCTCGAAACAGTTTACAATTGATTGTCGTTTACTAATCACGTAAGTTTCTAGAAACAGGTTGAAAAGCCTTTAAATCAAGAATGTTTTTTTAAATGAGTAGTTGAATGTTTTTCTTTGGAAATAATTTGACAAGATATTCTACTTAAGATTTAGATTTCTGCTGCCTGAATCAGAATGAATTAATAAGTAATATGTACGGAAAAGAAAATTGGCATGACAAAATGTGAAAGAATATTGTATCCAAACCAAAATCTTAAACAATTGGTACATAATCTGAAATCAGTTAAGGGTTCTGAAGAACTTTTTTTTTTTGATGACAAGGGAAACCCGCAGCCGCTACCCTTTTGGGTGCGCACAGGGTAAAACCTGCTCCTATGCAATAGCTCGCAAACCACATAGGAGAGGTAATTTAGGGGTTCTGAAGATTACATATTTGTTTTCGGATTTTCTTGTTTTTCTTTGTCTTTTTTTCTCTCGACTATATTTTAAGGATCTCACTAAGGTTCAACAGGTGAAAGAGTGAACTTGGGGTGAGATGTAAGTTCAAGAAAATAAGTAAGGGGGTTTGGAACAAAGAAAGTAAGCTCAACAGACTGGGAGATGATACATATCCAACATAAAATGGTTTGGTTCCTGCCAGTTATTATTCCTAGGGCTTATTGTCACACCCAAGTAAGAAAAAACAGAGTTTAATAAGCTTTAAATGGAAACAATAACGTGAGCAAGTGCAACCGGTAATGTTACTAGCCATTGCATATGTATATCACCTGTTCTTATGCAAATGCCTGACAAGATGTGAAAATGATGATCCATCAAGCTGACCAGCTTCCAGCTGATCAAATATTTCAACTAGGCCTTTCCTACATGATTAGCAGATAATTATGTTGATATAAATATGTAGATGAAGAGGCCGACGCCACAAAACATAATCTAAATTGCCCAATTTTAAATGTCCTAACGACTTCTATATGACTCTTCCCTAAGAGAATACTGAACTGTTTGCCAAACAGCAGAGGCCAATCCAGAATTTAAGTTTTATTGGTTGAATATTTAAGGTTTTCTCATTGAGCCCATTATTTGTTTAAAATTAGGCATTCATTACTATTTGTTGCAATTTTCATAAATTTATGTTCTGTGTTGGAAGTACTGGGTTCATATGAACCCAGTATTAATACTCTACATCTGCTTCAGCCAAACAGCACTTCAGATATGCCAGTCATGGTGGGGCCAACTTTCATGTTATCACAGCACTTCCGCATTTCTAGGTGAACCTTTCAGCTATTTCTATCCCGTGTACTCGTAGCATCTTTGTGAAGCATTACAATATGAAGGATAGTAGATTTGTGTCCTAAATGAAGGCAATGGCAACACGTCAAGAAAATTACCAAGCTTAACTTAAAAAATCACTCTTCTAAAATTGATAAAATAAGCTAAAAATTTTACTTGTAAACCACACACAGAGAAACTTTATACCAACCAGAAGCAACTGCAAACAACAACATACCCACTGTAATCCCACAAGTGGCAAGTGGGGAGGGTAGGGTGTGTGCAGACCTTACCCCTACCTCCCCTCAAGGAAAATTAAAAAAAAAATAAGCAGGTCGAAAAAAGAATTAAGGGGAATGAAGAAGTCATGGCAAAGGAGAAACAACTGCGAAATACTCATCAACTGCTTGAGTACCTGTCCGGAGTGATTGTTTTCCGGTGGCCTAAGAATCTGCGGTGCCCCTCAACTGCTCTTGCCATATTACCTGAGTGTGATGGAATGAAAACATCACTCTCTACAGAGATTAGATAATCGAGTGCTGCAGCTTGTGAGGCATGATTTGCAAACTCTCTCAGTTCTGGTGTTGCCAGCATTTCCTGCCACAAATTAGACATTTGGTTTGGTAGGTAAAAATGTGTATTGTTATGAAAGAAATTAACTCCAAGCTGCAAGATAGACAGAATGTTTAGGTGTAGGTACAAACCTTGAAAACAACATTTGGAAAGTAAGATTTGAGCTCTGAGAGACGAGTGTTACCACCATAAATTTCTCCAGCAGCAATATATATAAATGTTGACGGAGGATAACCAAGAGCTTGAAGAAATAATCCGACCTCTTTTGGAGTGAGAGGGCAGAAACCACCAATTCTCTGTTCAGTTGAGTTGATAACCTTAATCTTCCAATGATTTGTCTTCTCTCTAGTCATGGATGAGTAACATTAGATATTATACAACATTATGGGTGTTGCTCTAAATATCATTGCAACAACAGAAGAAAGGTGAAAAGATCTAAGTTACTAGAAACCATGATATCAGAAGAAATTGGAGCAGTTCTTTAATAACAACAACAACAGTCCCAGGATAATCCCCCAAGTGGGGTCTGGAGAGGTTAGAGTATATGCAGACCTTAACCCTACCTTGGCAGGAAGAGAGGTTGTTTTCGATAGACTCTCAGCTCAAAGAAAGCAAAAACACAACGTATATGAAGACTTAACGTAACAACAGCAGGATAGTAAGAAAATAGAGGCATGAGACCAAAGTAAGTAATCGAAAACTATGAATGAAAAATAAGGAAATAGTAGAATAATGAAAATTTCCTTAAATAAATACTAATACTACTAGTAGGAGAGACGAGACGCAAACTATTTACTACTAGCCTTCTACTCGAATTCTTAACCTCCACACCCTCCTATCAATGGTCATGTCCTCGGTAAGCTGAAGGCTAGTATGTCCTGCTTGATCACCTCTTCACAATACTTCTTCAGCCTACCACTACATCTCTTCAGGCCCTCCAGCGTCAGCCTCTCACACTACACCTCTTTACTAGGATATCTGTGCATCTCCTCTTGACATGCACGAACCATCTCAGCCTCACCTCCCGCCTCTTGTCCACTGTGGAAGCCACTTCCACCTTGGCAAGAATAACTTCATTTATGACCATGTCTCTCTTAGAAAGTCCACACATCCATCTCAACATTCTCATTTTACGCAGGTAAGTTCTACAGTTGTATGGGGGGTGAGTGTTGGCCTGTGGAGAACTCTCATGTTCAGAAGATGCAAGTGGCACCTTCTTATTACATAAAACACCAGATGCTTTAATGTCATAGATGACATCTTGACGTGCATAGTATAGTATGTACTTCAAGGTTCTGTGTATAAATAAATTTATACAGAAGAAGGGATTCTGAAGTTTCAGAACTAAATTTGAAAGCTCTAAATATCAGCCTGTATGTATAAACTTGTGATCAAAGAATTTTTGGCCATTCCTAAATAACCTACAGGCCATGAATGAGACACAATACTTTTCACCAGGCTCAGAAAAATAAATACACTGAAGGCGGATTCTCGCTCCTTTACGCAAATAATACAGCGAGCACAATTGAGGACATATATAGCAAAATTATGACAATATGATAGTGATGATGAGAGAAACCTCATCACCCGAAGTTCCTCTGCTTCTGCATCAGTAAGACCATATGTACAACCAGTAAAAGACAGCATGTCCTTCTCATATCTCAAGTGGAGTGCAACATATCTTTTTGCTCTGGTTCGCAGCTGCTCCACGAGCTTCTGTGGTATCATCATCATGTTAGTAACAAATCCCAAATAATGAGAAATATAGCTCTACTTTGCAAATGAGATCCAAAACATCAAAAGGATGTAGATGAAATTGTACTGCAAAAACTGACATGGGAATCCTACACCTAATACATAATATATTTATTTCATAATTTGAATGCCATTCTTAAACATGGAAACTTGAACACCAGAAAATTATGTGAAATGCCATAGCCAGCTAAAAAGATTCAGTGTAGTGTGACAATCCAAAAAGGAAGCTCAAAACTCCATAAGTGTTTCTGGTGTTACTAAAATTACTAGTCCCACATTGTTATCATATTTGTCAGATGATGGTTCTAAGTTCTAACCTTTCCAAGTCTCTCAATAGGAGGAGAGAAGCGGAGAGCACTATACAGAGCACGGCATCTTAATCTCTGAATATCAAGAGGCAGTTCATTGTTCGCAAGGCGAGAATCAGATTTAGCAACATGAATGACCTGCAATAATGTGCAATAAGCTAACTTTCGATTTCAGACATATACTTTAGTAGACAAGGCAAGAGAAAAATGGGATCAAGTCTCATGAACAAAAGGAAATAGAAATAAAGCATCCCTTGTAATAACGGATTTTACTGATAATATCAACATCATAAACTGATAAAGTTTAAATAAAATAATAAATTTAATCCCCTTCCAGATTTCATAGTTTTGGGATTAAATGCTATCTCCGACATCTTAGAGTAGTTAACAAATCTTAGACTATTGAAAAGAAAGATCAATTTCGTGGCTAATAAATTTCAATGGTCAATTATACCTTCCATGACAAGGCTTCAACTGATTAATATTTGCAAGTTTTTGGTATTAATTCATTGATATGTCTGCACCAGCTTGAGCTGAGCATTGAAGTGATACAATACACTTCAAGCTTTTTAATTTGCTTTCTGCTAATAGTTAGTGAAGTTGTCCCTTATTCTCCATCAAATCGAACAACATAATGAAAGTTGCTTATCATATTACTTACAACTTTCATATATTTGGAGTAGATTCACGAATGGTCACTCAACTTTTATTTTATTGCACCAAAGTCTATTTTTGTAACAAAAAATCACTCAAGCAGTTGGTTAGGTGAAACACCCACTAACGTAACTCTTTCTTGTTATCTTCAGTCTGACCCAACCTCAAGATGCCACTGTAGAAAAAGTTTGGAATGATCAAGGCTGAAACCTGAGCTTCAGAATTATTGGCAGTATTCTACACCTCTCAATTTATTCAAGAGCCTTTATGCCTCTGAAGACACAGTACTGTATGCAAGTGGATAAACTAGAGAGATTCTCAGTCAAGTCAGCCTACAAAGAGTTTAATCAATCCAACAACCAGCTTAGTGGTTGGCCCTGGAAATTCATGTAGAAAGTCATAATTCATCTCTGGTTGCAAGTTTCACCTCGCTCGTGGCCAGGAAAGAAGTCCTAAGTCCTAACTCATGAAAATCTTGCAAAAAAGGGCTTCCACCTATGCTCTAGACGTTATATGCGTGGAGAAGAAACAGAGACAATCAGCCATTTTTCTCCATTGCAAGTTAACTGAACAACCTTGGAGGATTTTCCATAATTTAACAGGAATCATGAGGGTGATGCCAAGAGATACACTTGTAGTGTTGGAACGAATACAACATTCACTCAAAATAGAAGGAAAGATGGAAGACTGTTCCTGCTTGCATTACGGAAAGAGAGAATCAAAGGTGTCCTGAAGACAACACTAGCTCCATCCAGAAACTGAAGACGAAGTGTTTAGCCCTTTTGTTATTTTTGGTGTAAACATGAATATATGGAAGATATAGAATCCTTAGTTGATGGTCTAGGATTTCTGTGAGTAGTTTTAGGTTCAGAACATCTTCCAATATTACCTTTTTTAATTATGGATAGCTGCAGTTTTTATGTTGCACCAAATGGTTATACAAAGAAATTATTTAAAATATCAGTCAACTTAGCTATAGTATGACAAAAATTTAATAAACTATTTCGCGTAACCAGAAAATCACTGAAAGTGTTACAGAAAGTCAGTAAGCATTTTTTATTGTAACCAAAAAATCAATTCAAATTTACCTAATTATCATATAAAATGTCTCTTTTGTATTCTCCTAATGACTTTTTTGATATTTAGGCAAAGTTGAGAGACTTTTTTTTTTTGCAAAAAAAAAAAATTTAGTGACTTCCGTGATACTTAAATAAAGTTAAGTGATTTTCTTGTTACAAAAAATAGTAGAGTAATTTTAGTACAATAAAGAGTAAGCTGAGTGACCCTTCATAAAATTAACCCTCATATAAACATCAGAGGTTTTGTTGAGCAAATATTGTTTGAAAAGAGAAATGTTCTGAATGTGTAAGACCGCTATGCACACTATTAGGATGTTGTCCATACAGATATATAATAACTTCGACACCATGTTCCACAATCTTCTATTTATATATTAACAATTTCCATGGCAGTAAACAAGCGCAACAAGGTAGCAACAATTTCTTGATTTGGTGGCCATTGCAAGAGAGAGGTTAAGACAATCTACCTTAAAAAAAAAAAGGGTGATAGGAAGAAGATTTTACATGCCTGATGCTCCTTCCACAATTGAGTCATTTCTTCATAGTAACCCACTCCTGACCATGACGTGAAGTGCTTCCTAGCTCGAGGTAAAGATTCTATTTCTTTAGGAAGCTCTTTAATAATCATGAGGTCTCCTCTTAATGCTTTGATGAAATGGTTCTCATCAAATATATCTGAAAATGTACTGTACATTAGCCCATTAGAACAAACTAGAGTAAGTATGTTTAGATAAAGTGAAAAAAAAAAAGCAGTTGGTAGAGATCAAAGCACTCATCAGAAATTTTACAAGAAACAAGAAAAATATCAGAGTCTAAACTTGTAAAGAAATAGATCTTGGGCCTAACTCAACCTCAAAAGATAGCTCGTGAGTGGAGGATTGCCCAAATCCATAAAAAGAGACCAGACAGCTGGAGCATGGGCAATTTAATTTTGGGGCTCAACATCGGGTATGATGGGTCCTGCTATGGTACCATGTAAATAAATGAATCTTGGACCTAACTCAACCTCAAAATCTAGCCCATGAGGAGGGGACTGCACAAGTCCATACAAGGAGACCACCATCTAAGCAATACATTACATATATAAACACATTTCTAAAAGAATGACAAGCCATGTGAAGTTGTAAGATATACAGTACAGAAAAAAATATGACCTTGAATCTTGCCAGAATGAACGCTTGTCCAATTGAGGAATTACCAAAGTTGCATTCATCACATGTGCCACTGCCACCATGTCAGCTATCTGTAAGCAAAAAGAAGCAAAATGAAAAAATTAAGACTGAAGGGGAAAGTACTTCATTAACTTATAAATATGTGGATATATTTGCTTAAAGAAAGGGCATGACCAGAATGACATTTCAATAATGAGACGGGACTACATCCAACAACATAATGATTCATGAGTCAGCACTTCAGAAGTCATGGCATAATCATCTTACCAATGTAAAACAAAATTAGCAAAACTTATGGAACTTTGTCCCTTGGAGTGAACGTGAATAAATGAAAATCAAAGATCAGTCCTTGTATGTTCGAACAACGCCGAGATACGTGGCATCCTATCCAAGGTTCAGCGCCCATCTTTGAAAACTTTATTTCCACCCATTATACAAGAAATTGGGAATTTCATAATGTCTACATCAACGTATATTGGGAATGCAACGGCTGAAGATACAAGAAGACCAAGGCTCAACGCAAGTCAACCCTCGGATGTGCAAATCCCAAATCCACGGGCAAATTCCTGTCCGTCTCATCCTTTTTCCACCCGTAAATCAGCTCATCTTTAAAATAAAGTGACACTTATGCGTTTATTTCCTGTCTGATATTTTGCCTATCTTTGAAAAATCGAGTCTTAGATTTTCCTGGCAACATGTCAATTCCTTACTAAGTAAAAATATTATTTGATCTAGTAACTTTAAAAGTGGATTAAGAGTAGATGAATATCTTATTCTATGATATGTTCAATTCGTAGATTAAGAGTAGATGAAATCTTATTTTTATGATATGTTTCAATTTAAAGTTAACTATTTTATTTTATTTTGAGAAAGAATTTGAAGTTAACTTAGTGACCTATAGAATTTGGTATGACTGATAGCTTTGGTTTGAGGAAACTAATTCTTCTAGTTAGCATAATACTCAATTTGATTTACACGTATGATAAGTTCCAGGTTTCTAATTTGACACATATGAATCAAATATGTATGGTGCATGATTTCATTATCTGGATATAGAGTTAAAACTCAAAAATGGTCAAAAAATGGAGTTCTTATTCAAATTTTTATTATCATAATTTCAAAGCATTGTATGACATTAAGTTAAGTCAATCATTTTTGGCATTTGCTTAAAGCTCAATACATGTCTTTTGAGTCAGCCTCAAACAGTGTGAAAATGGAAGATAAATCTGTCCAGAGGCCGAAATTACATCAGCAGGAGCAGATAAAATGGGGTAGGAGCAGTAATACTGCATAGAGCCTGAAGATCATCTGTTAGTAGCAAAGATTGGGTCTCAGGAGCCCAATTTAAATTTTCTCTTATTTCTTGATTTCATTGTATTGTATACTAACATTCATTCTAACTTGGATGAATCCCCCTTGAGTTGCTATGTTTTATTTTTGGTTCCTTGTAATTTTATTTGTCTTAAATACTGAAGTTTTAAATTAACTTAGATTGCCTTGAGAGTTTCAAAAGAGTTTTTCTTTTCAAACAGTCCAAAAGAGCTTTTCTTTTCAACAAAATGCCAAAAATACTTTTTCCTTTCACATATTAAAAAATTTAAGAAATTCTTCAATCAATTAAGTTAGTCAAATAATTGTTTAGTTAAATCAACAGATAACCATGTGTTAAGCAGACATTTCAAGGGCTTAGAACCTTCTCGAAATGTTAATAGGAACCCTATCTTTGAAATTTTGAAAAGATTTTTCTGTTAGAATCTTTTTTTAAAAATTAAAGGTTTTCATAATTGCCTTGCAAAATTAAGTGGCAACTCTGTTTTCAAAATAACCATTCTTTCTTTTTGTTGCCAAGTTAGGGTTTTGAGGATTTGAAGTAAACTTACAAAATTAACATGTAAGTTTCTGTGATGCCACAAAAACTTGGACGTTTATTTAATTTTCCATGAAGAGAAAAGGAGATCAAGCTAATAAAATTGGGCGAGGTCAACCTTAACCAATAGACATGTCCAGATCTGCCATTTCTTTCCAAAACTATGCCAACTTACAATCATAATTCATCGTCTTCTTGCTGGGAACAACGTTTTCTGGTCTTATAGAAATCTAATTCCCATTCATATGACATGTTATGATTATTTTATGTGATAAAAAGTATAAATGAGAAAAGTGTTTTTCTGTATACCAAATATGTCTCAAATTTAAAGAATCATCAAATTGCTAGTGCATCATTTAGCTATTTCCTTGCAGCAACACAACTTCGTATGAGACTGCTTTTTTTGTTAACTTCCCCCCCACCCCCTTTATCTATGAATGCTATTTTTACAGACTTCATTCCAAACAGCGTATAAACTTAAAGGCCCACTTTAATTTGTCTTACTTTAATATCTATTTCTAAGCTGAAGGTTTTAAATGGCTCAGCTTCAATCAAGTTAACTTGTTGAATGATACCCTAGGAATATACAAGTAGAAGTGCATACAAGTTACTACATGCCCACTAGCATTTACATGTTTAAGCTAATCCACACTTTTAGCTCGTCTAACCGTAGCATGAAAGCAATTTCTTTGAATTATTGTGGATTAAAAACAAGAACAATTATGTAACATACACACAGAAAATGGAAATTAGAAATCTAAGGAAAGATCAAACTTACACCCGTCCTCATTTGATTTAATCCACCATTACTTTTTACAGTCAAGTAGCGTTTCCACCCTAGAGCAGCTGGACAAGAAGTATAAATTCTGCATAAGACTATCTGCTTAAAAGTTACAGCATACAAAAGGTTCATATTGTGCATGAGTTGGTACATGTTTAAGAGATTGCAATTGATAGAAAACAGCAAAGGCATGATCTTTTATCTATTTTTATGACTGAAATACGCTGTTTCAGCTTTAAACAAACACAGGCATGAACTGATAGAACACATAAGAAACGACATACAGAAAATTGTCCCCACACCCTATAAAAAGAATCTGAAAAATGAGATCTTGAGATAATCAAGTATTTCCCTTTTACAAAATTCAGAAAAAATTAGTGCTCCCAAAAGGCAATGGAGATACCTTTTTTCCATATTAACTAGCAGGTAGCAAAAGAAGCACAAGCTGTAGTAGTAGAGTTTAACCTTTGTATTTTGCAGTTGGCTTAATGCATGGATGTAAACCATGGCTCTTTGAAGCTTCCCAAACAGAATTATCTTCATTCTGCAAAAGTCAAAAGAAGACGTTCTCACTAACACAAGTCATCTCATGGTGCTCAACCTACTCCATTAACAACTAGGCCAACGGGAGTAGCAAGCAAGAGCTGAGGGGTTCTTCCGAACCTACGACAAAAAACTACACTATTTCTACATTGTTAAAGTAATATTTCACATATGCCTGTACTTTTTATATTTCAAATCCTTTTCTTGAAAATCCTAACTCCGCCACCAACTAGGCCACCCCTTGATGCAATAAAAAGCAAAATTTCAGAAAATTATGACATATCCAGAAACTCTCTAGCCCAAATTACAAAAGATCAGCTCAAACCACCCATCAATAAACTAAGCAATATAAGCAAAACAACACAGCAGAATCACCATAAAAATGAAAACTTTAAGCAATTTCAAGAAATAAATAAATTAAATAACAACCTCATCGAATTCAGGCTCTTCCTTCTTCTCCGATGCCAAGACAAGCTTTTGTTCATCTTCTACGATATCCTTAGTGTAATAAAAGAATACGAACATTGACAAAACAAAAAAGAGGAAAATGTAGAGAGTAATTGAGAAATTGGATGTCCTCCTTGTCGTTCTGTACTGAGTATGGCCTCTGTTCCCCATTTCTTATACAAAATTTCACACTCCTCGACTCATCAATGGCTACAAAATTACACAATTTTCGATGCTTCAGAGTTCAGAGAGTCGAATTTTGGGAGAATTTGTTGATTTGATTTGGGTTACAACACAGATTCATAGTTGGAAAATGGCATTTTACGTCCCCTAGATTTGTAGATAGTTCATCTCAGTTCTAATTTTTGTGTTATTGACACTTATGCCCTTATTTTGTACTCGTTGACGTTAAGTATCGATTTGTTTGTCTTATTTCATTTTTTATTGATTTAAAAAGGGCTTTCTGTTTTTTATTTTTAGTGACTCTCTAATTCTAACGAAAACATATTTTTAAAGATCACAAGATTAAAGATATTTTGTGAGATATAAGTTATATATTTTTGTGTTATTGTAAACCTCAAATTATGCTCTCACGTGACTTTAGTTTCTAAAGAAGACATAAGGTCAATTGCTAAGAACTTGTTTAAACATACTTATTTTAGATGTTTTAAATATTGAAAAAATAATTCAAAAAGTCATGAATTATATGTTAAAATCAATAAAGAGTCAAAAGTATCTTTAAACAACGTGAAAATGAATAAAAATATACTTAGTTGATAGTTTGATCCATAAATGTCCTTGTTAACAATAATTTAATCTAAAAATAAACTTAATATTACGTTATGGAACAATTGAGCTTATTGTTGGACTGATTATTCAGAGCCAGCAATTGATTGTCGGATTTCGTCCGGCAACTAGAAAAAAATCACTTCGGGGTCACTATGGTGTGACAATTCTAAAATTCATAGTTTATTTCTGATAAAGCCTTTGAAAATTATCATTGTATCCCGCATATAACATTATGAAAATATACAATAATTTCATTGTACATGTCAGCTTAATTTAGTTGGCTAACATCAAAATTCTTCGATTCAATAGAGTCATCAAGATCCGAGTGACCAGAATGATCAGCAGAGAAGTTTCGCAAGTTTGTGAAGACAAATTCTCGTCACTCAGTTTTCAATTGATCGCGAGATTGATTTTCTAACGGTTGAGTTTAGTCGGCCTATTTGATTAATATGTAACCAACTAAGAGAATAGTAATGACATTGAATTTGCATGTTATCTTCTTCTCCAAAGTTCTTCCCAATTTCTTTATTCTCAATCTTTAATAATCTTCTTTATCGTGCTATGAGCTATTATCACGAGTCCGAAGCCTAAAGAGTGAAAAATGTTAACAAAAATTTTCAAAACGGTATATGAAATTTCTTTTAACCAAAACGGTAAAATCGCTCATGAAGTAGCAATTTTGTCCGCTTGAAAAAGTAAAATCGCTTCCCATTTTCTGTTATTCTTGTTATTAGCTTAGCCAATATAATCAAAAATCGTCCCAAATAATAAATATGTATGTGATATTGTGAATACTGGATAATAGAAAAAGGAAACATATTATAGAACATAATACAATGTCTATATAGATACCTTTTCTGGACTTCTGTAATAATGGTATTGATATAGGCAAGGCATATAACATCTAGCAATAAAAAGTCTTGGACAAACCAATGTCACCTTGTAAACCTTAATACTAATCTTCCTCTTTGATAATTCATCACCAATTCCAAAAGATATAAACATGGCCATCTTACAAATTTTTTTAAACAACTTGTTTAATAAATCCTTGAAACTCATGTTCCTTCTGGTAAAATGGTAGCTATTGAGAAATACCCTTCTGGACTGCAAATATTCATAATCTCCATTGATTAATCTGAAGCTTTCACTCTTCACAAAATCACTAGGAAAAATTGGAGAGACTCTTGTACTATGAATTGAATTGCATGTGCTCATCCAATTAGCCATAGTGTTCATGCATATAAAAAGGAGTACACTCTCTGTGTATGTGGTGTTTAATTTGTTCGTATTTATAGTTTGCATACAAGTAAATGTAATCAACATCATGTGAGAGAGTCTCCTGAGTAGTTCAACTAATGTAGTTGTTGTATACTATGTTTGGTAGCTTTTGTTGCACCCATTAATTTTCTACCAATAACTAAGAGTTTAGACTAATGAATAAACCACTTACTATATTCATCAAGTAAAAAGGGTACATCACTCTATATTGTATCAGGTTATCAAAATAGGAAAAGAAACTGAGGGTGTTCATAACATTTAGCAAAATCCTAGCTCTTTTCATCATGATGCAGGCTTCCCATCGCGAATTTCATATTACACGTAAGAGTCACAGATTTCAAAGAAAGAACTGATATCATAGGTCTAGTGCCAATGGTAAGAAGTAAATGTGCCCTTAAAACATATGTTCCTTATCACCAACAAAACGAAGGCCAGGCCATATGAGAAAGAAACTGAACTGAGTCATTTCAATGATGCAACTCACATCAAATGCAACTGATAGAATTCTTTATTTCAAAATTCAAAACCACATACAGTTTACTTCAATGTCTTTTAGTTGATAAAACCATGATTGATCAAGAATAATAAAGGTCAGTGATGACCACCACCACCACCATCTACACCTTCCTTTTTCTTTTGTGAAGCAGCTCTCAATTGGCGCTGCTCCTCTTTGTAGATTCGGTTCCTACGTTGATACTGCAGTAAAGGAAACAACAACCCTGTAACTAAAGAGTACAATGAGAAGTACCAAACGATTTATGAATATATCTGAGCCATCATTTGTTTTTGAGCTAGAGAATTCCAAAGAATTTTACCACATCAAAAATGACAACATGGATTGAATCAGTCGGTCATCGACAGCTCAAAAGGAGGGGAAGTGAAGAGGGAATGACCATATATCCATTTTTTTAATAAGTAGGAGACAAGCATGTAGCAGGTGGGGCAGTAACATAGTAGAGAAAGAACTCTCAATCGTATAAGACATCGACAGTAGCCAAGTAATAGAGTTCTATAGTCTGTCCCAGAAAAATAATGAGCTTAAGGCACCGGTACACCACATGAACACTACTAATTCATGCACCTCAAGGCTTCAATATCTCTTAATCTTCAGTTGATACATATATCAAAGTGTCTTATAAGGCCAATTTGGGCTTATTTGTGGTTAAATTAAGAAGGAAATCAATCAAATTTAATGAGTTCTAATCAATCAAAAAGCATTGTCCTGAACATGAGCAATAACAATAACATAAGCAGAACAAGTAGGATAGTATGTTAGTAGTCTATGAATCTAAGTAGAATTAAGAGGTGCAAAGGATCCAACAAGTTTGATCTACAAATAGTGGAACTGTGAAAGACTGAAAAGTGAAAACCAGAGTACCATACGGAGTTTCAAATGTCAGTAGATTAGTAATCCAACAATCTAGGTAGAGCACTAAAGTGTCCCAATAAGATGAAAAGAAGAGGATAGGAAGCACAGACACAATACCTAATTTAACATATTGAAGTCAGAAGACACTCACACACCCTGGAAAATGTCTGCCATAGATGTTAAAGTTTATTCGTTCAACGGGCAAGGACTATTCTTGGATATCAATGGGACTTTGCTCCAAATTCAACCTAATTTGAAGGAACATAGACACTAGAGAGATAGCAATGCTCCACAATTTTCACCAAATATAATTTCACAAAATGTTACCACATGCAAGTATATGTCCATATACGTGGAGCATTTTCTAATTGCATCATCTGATTTTAAATGGAAATACATTAGTCCCTAAAACATTATAACTAGTCAAAAGAAGAGGTTTCTACAAAATTCATGCCTCTATATGACAAAGAGAAGAGCAGAGGACGATTTTATAAACAGGGAGGAAAGATGCCGCTTTCAGTTGAGCAGAGAGAAGTATTGCCCATTGAGTCAATGATTAAGATGAACAGAGGATGATTGTATAAACAGGGACGAAAGACATCACTTTCAGATGAGCAGAGAGAAATACTGCCCATTGAGATTATTAAGTACTTCCCATCACTTTCTTTTCTTTTTCTTTCTTTTGGGGGTAGAAATAAATGCCAAAGTTTTTCTACATACAAATATCTGATTTTGCAAAGGTCAGGGATTAGCAAATCCTGACTTTGAGAACAGAGATCATAATTTATTTGGCACCATCACAGTAGAAGGTACCTTTCTCACTCAACTAATGCCATTAAGTCTAAGAAAACATAGTTTCCTTGATGTAGGTAATTTCTTGCAGTAGCTAAACTTGGAAAAGGCTTCCACCATTTACTTCACTCATTAACATATTAGAATAATTAAGCATGTATTAATACAAGTAGTATATGAGCTACAAACTGAAATGTGTACTCTCAACACGGAAAATGAAAGGAGGGTTTGCTACTTCGCTGGGTGAGATCTACAAACAGCTATTGAAGCTTCTTTCCTATTACTTCACCTGTCACCAATTTCTAATCTAATTTCTACATCAAGTAATGAGGTTTATACAACTTGTCAGGACCATAAAACACCTAACCACAAGCCCCCAACTTATGAGAAAGATCTCGGCTGTAGCTTGAGGCACTTCCAAGAGAAAATAACAACGCTTCTCAGAAGAGTAGATAGTAATGCTGATAGTGACAAGAAGATCAATTAATGAAAGAGCCAAAATCAAATAACAGGGAAAAAAATAGCTGTATAAATCAAGATTCGTCTCTTTTTGAGACTCCATAAAAAATTAGCTGATGTAATGTTTTCTACAGATTTAGGACGAGACAATGCACACAAGGTGCTTAACTACAGATGTTCCAGTTCAGTCCTTGTAAATTGACTACTTCCATTTCCTACTTATAGCAATGCCTTTGCTTTCATGGCTTCTCTAAGAAATCACTTGAGAGACCCTAAATTTTTGTTTTTATTTTCGATAAGAGTGAAAGACCCTAAATAAGACGAATCAAAGAGGTATGTCTAGGTATAACTTTTTTATCAAAAAAAAAGAAGAGAAGTCCAGGTATAACTCTAAAATAGACAAAGGGTGGAAATCCACATCTGTGCTACAAAGAATGAGAAAATATCTGTAATCTAAAGAACTTAAAAGGTCTTTTGAGACGACTTCCCTCCACTAATTTAGGTCTATCTCGGGTTATTTTACGACCTTCAATCAGCAAAATATATCATTTATAGATCTCTTATCACATGACAAGGCTTCAGAGCACCTACTTAAATTTAAGTCCTCCTCAGCTGCTTAGTCACATAATGTGTTTGATATGATCCAAATAATGAAAAGATCTAGCAGATATATAATGTGGCATGCTGGTGAGCCAAATTTTGTCATCGCCAGTAACCTTGAATTTCCCCCAAATAGAGCTTAAAGGGAACCATAACTAGTTCAAAGTAACAGCTATACTGATATAGACCAAGTACGAATCAATTGGCATTTGGACATAATTTTGGGTAAAATTTGAAATGGAAAGAAGAGTAAGTTGAAATTGAAAAAGGATATTTGGATGTTAAAGTAGTGTTTGGAGATGAAATTCACTTGGAAAAAAGTTGACGACTTGTAAGTGAACCATTATATTACTCAATAAACTCTCCTCAAACTTTGAATTCTCTATTTTCAAGTTTGAAATAATGAACCAGATTGATAAACAGGCATTTATTTGAAATGATATCCATGCATACTTGGTAAGCCTGCCATGATGTTTGGCGACTAGACATCAGCCATATGCATATTTGGTGAATTTTTCGATAGGTTGACTTACAAATACCACTTTCTCCATTTCCCTGTATGATTCATCAGATGTATTTTCCTTGACATAAAATCATAATATTTTCAAATATCTATATTCCTTGGTATTCCAAGAAAGAGTGCAGTACAAGTATAAATGGATACTATATATGGAGGTCCTCCCCTATACATGCCAAGCGATCTCATCAATCTTTTCTTATTTTATGTCTGTATGCTACTTGAACTATCTTTCTGATGTGTTGTTTCTAATCTTGTACATCTTGCTGACTGCATATCCATCTTAACATCACATTTCTATGTTACTTGTTTTATTAATATGATGAAACTTAGAGGACCAATATTCACTACCATAATATAAATTGCTATTCTCACAGCCATTCCATAGAAGTTTCCTTTGACTTATTAGGTGTCTTTCTATCACATAGTAATCATGCAGCACCTCCTCCACTTCAACCATCCTATTTTCATTATATATGCTATATCTCTATCTATCACGTCATTCTCATGTAAGACTAGACTCAGATAACTAAATTGTTTGCATTTAGGAAATATAATCTCGCCCAATCCCACTTTACTTTTGTTCTTCTTATGAGAGCAAAACTTACAGTTTTTTCAGCATGTTTACTATTTTACTTCTACAAACCTTACAATCCATATTGTTTCTCTGTAGTTCCATCCACTCATTAACAAGTTGCTTGCTTCGTCAATTAATAAACGCCATCATCAATAACTACAGTGCAAATCACCTCCTACAGTTCCACACATATATCTGATGTTGGATGAAAAATGAAAAAAAAATCCATACTTTGAGGGAATTCAAATCTGAGAAGCTTTTATTCGAACCAATTCAGATTATAAAGTATCAAATCTCTAAAAACCCTAAATACAGCTGAGGACAAATTGCCTAATGGAACTGCTGAGTTGTTTAAATCTTCAGGATAAGGACGATTGTTAAGCAAAGGTGAAAATACCAAAGAGATCGGAATCTAATGGGAAAAAAAATCGAAATGTACCTCTTTGGAATGATGAAGACACTCGAAGTAGTCTTCTCTAAGAAGTACACAGTCCTTGGGCTCCCTGCATCGAGACATACACTCACTGAAATCCATCCAGAAATCATAGCATCGTCCTTTATTCCCTGTAATTCCCCATCCAGACGCCATTGGAGTAAACTCTTTCTTCTTCCTCTGCTATGGAAATTGGTGAATTGCGATCAGAATCGGATGTTAAGGGCTATAGCGGATCGATCCACATTTGGGCCAAGACCCAACAATATCTTCTATAAATTAAGGCCCAAATGTTTGTTTTTCACTCGTCTTGATCGATCCGTTAAAAATAAGAGAAACTTTCACATATAGCCACTTAAAAATAATTAATTACTCTATATAGCTATAGTTTAATACTTACAATTTGTAGCTACATGTTATATGGAGGAGAGAGGCGACCGAGACTGGGAGAGATAGGAGAGAGGAGAGAGAGTCGGAGAAAGGTGCATTGTATATGTAAATCAATTAGATAATTGTATATTATACATATATATTTATATATATGTCAAGGGAGAGTTGGAGAGGGAGGAGAGAGGCGAGCGAAATTGGGAGAGGGAGGAGAGAGGCGAGCAAAATTGGGAGAGTGAGGAGAGAGGAGATCTAAATTGGGAGAGTGAGGAGAGAGACGAGTAAAATTGAGAGAGGGAGGAGAGAGGCGAACGAGAGAGGGCAGAGAGTGAGAGAGAGATGAATTATATATGTATATTATACATATGCATTTGTATATATGGCAAGTGAGACTGGAAAAAGGAAAGAGAAAGGCGAGCGAAATCCAAAGACGGTACGTGATTCAAAATCAGTCTTTAATGTGTAATGTAAAATAATGTTACTTCTAAAATATTAGACTATTATCTAAAGTAGTAACATTAAAATTCATTCATATTATCAAATACAAACCCCACATTTCTAGGGTGGGGCTCTTGAAATCTCCTTATTATCTCTTCAATATTACAAATTCATTACTACAAAATAACAATATACTTCATACACTAGTAGAATTTAACAAGAATGCTTGAATTTTCCTCTCATAAATGTAATTATCCTCAGATGAAGCATCAGCAGAGTAAATCATTGCACCATTAACATGAAATCCATTAGTTTCCAGTAATTTCAATCCATCAAAAAATGCATCACCTTGAATTCCTCTTCCATCCACTTCATAGCTAGGAATTACTTTCTCTTTATTAAATTGTTCACTTCTTAGAACAAAAGCCTTCAAATAACCTCTTGGTGTACTAACTTTATCTGTATAAAATTGATGATTTACATAGTCAATTGATTCTCCATAGTTGTTGTATAGCTCTATGTATGGTAAAATTGTTCTATAATATGGTGCAATTGTTGCTATAGATATAACACTTTGGTTCTTTAAGAGAGTTATTAATTCTCCTATGCAATGAGAGAAACTTTCACTGTGTTTTGGGAATCTCTCATAGTCAATGTCAATTCCATCAAGGTTATATGTGTTGACAATTGATTTGAGGGAAGTGAATGCATTTGATATCCACTGTTGAGTGTCAATAGGCTTGTACCTGTTTAGAACATAATAGAATCGAGAATGTGTTTGAGTTAGTTGATTAAAAATAGTTGATAAGCATCAAGTACTCAGCAATTATATTTAGTGTTTATCATACGCGTAGAGGAGCGAGCGGAGGCAGCATCAGAAAATGTTACTATTTATTACATGATTAAAATTATTTTTTTAGGTATATGTATAATAACCGTTTTTCATTAGTTCGTGTGTTTTCTTCTCAGATTTTGACCCCCCTTATTAAAAATCTTGATTCCGCCACTGCTTATAAGTTAGTCTGAACAATGCATAAAATTAATCAAACGTGTGTTTTAATAAGATGAGATAGTCACGTAATTCAATAATACCAGCTAAGGACTTTTGAACCTATACTCCAACCAGAAAGGCTAGCCAAGACTTTGACATTAGGGTATTTGGATTTAATTGATGCAACTGAGTTTGGGGTTAATGTTGATGCCCAACAAGGTGAGAATTTGCCATTTTGTGGGTTCCCTAGAGAGTCAGCATCAATAGCAAAACTAAGAATGAAATGAAAGTCAATTCCTTCATCAATTGGAACATCATCAAATGTTATTGGTTTGCCTGTTGCTCCAATATACTCCATCATTACCTTCCCATCTGAAAAATAAAAATAAAAATGACACATAAGTTCATATATATGAAAAGAATATTTATATTATCAGGTTAATTGTTGAAAAGATGAAAATAGTGTTTTTAATCACAGGTGAATGAATAACGCGTAAAAACTTGTCTTGACAGAAGAACAAAAGAAGAAATCTGACTTACGAAGAGCTCGCGTCTGATTAACTGGTTGGTGAAGCAATATCTTGCCCAAAAAAATATGTTTATTATATATTACATATATTAATTAGTGATCATTAGGTAGCATTGTTTAAGCATATATAAAGAAGCGTAAAACTCAGAATAAAAAAATACAAAAATTATCCATTAATATGAGTTGTATGTTAATAAAATAATTTTGAGATTATCCTAGAACACCAAATTTAGCATATAATCTCTTTTATTTTTGTGTATTTGACATAAATTTAGCTTACAGAAAAAATACAAAATTAAAGAAGAAAAAAACCAATCTATGACTTACCACAAAATTGTCGAATTCTTAATAATAAAGCAAAGAGATGAAGGAAAATGAAGAGAATTTTAGCCATAATTGTCTTGTGGGTTCATTCATAAAAAAAAATAAAATTAATTAAGATATTATAGATTTCTAAACTAAAATTAATAATAAAAATAAAAGCCGGCAAAGATCTTTCTTCATATTTTAAAATTTTATTGCCAAAACAATTAAAATAGTTTAAGGCTAAAAAAATTTCTTGTTACAAGGCCACTATGTTAATTGCCGGTTTTGGAAATCACAACAAAGTTTGGTAAAATAGTTTAATTGATTATCAAGTTTAATGTTTATAATTAATATAAGATTTAACAACAAAGTAATACAATTTTTAACTTACGTTTAAATATACGATATGAAATAACGTTTATATATACATATATACATATCGATTGTCTTTTAACTTACGTTTAAATATGCGATATGAAATAACGTTTATATATATATATATACATGTCGATGCACTACTAGACCACGTCCTTTGAATCTTTTGTTGTATCCATATGCACATTGCACATGTAATTCACAATAGCAGAGTTGACCTTCCTTCATAACAAAGGTTCCCATCAAACATCTAACGAAGGTTCCTATCATATATATTTTGAAATATTCTTTCTTTATTCTCCTTAGCTAGAAGAATATGATTCTTGATCAAAGTTAGTGAAATATCATAAATAAATTATCATAAAGATAAAGATTATTCTATTCACAAACTTGAAAATATTCTTTTTATTTTCATGACTATAGTGTTCGTGCCAACTATTACGTATCTGGATTAATTTCACGAGATACATGTTACTTCTCACTAACAACAAGTGTCAGATAACTTTGTTCACAAAAGTTAGGACAGATAGGAACCTGAGACTTCATGCCTCATGGTTCTCCACTCAATTCATTAACAACTAGGCCACACTCTTGAGCCCTGCATCGTATCGATAGTGATTCAGGTAGCATATTAGAACAAATCCCAATCTTCAAGGTAACATTGTCTCACAGAGAAACTTGGAAAGCAATCACAGAGCTTTTAATGCCTCAATAACACCCTGTTGAGTAAAAAATTGCATATTAAAAGGTTCATAAGCCCATATATAGCTAGAATCATTCAGCAACTACAGGATGATAGGAAGATTTCTTATGAACATATAGTAGTTCTAATAATCTCTGCAGGTTACTCAACTAGCAGCAAACTAGATATTTTATTATGTATCTATTTTCTAAAATTTGTATAATGTTATCTACTTCTACTGGCACCCATGCTACAAGAAGCTTAAATGGTGCACTTTATTGAATACAACAAAGATTTCAAGCCATGCTGAGAAGACTACTGAAAGAGAGAGTCTCATACATACACTGAATGATGATATGAATTATCTTTCTTTTCTAACAATTGCATGAAAAGAGCAGTTAAATCTTAAATGAGTTGTTCTAGTTCAGATGAATAGACAGGGCAAGAGGATCATCTTCTATCTTTATGCAGAACAGTGATTGATAGGCTTAACAGAATTGGCAACACACAACATACTACTCAAAATGAACATAAACAGATACATCAAGTTCCAGAGGGAGCACAATGGAACAGAGATGCAAACTGACGACACTATTAACATAGGCAAGAATTGCCTTTCGGTTCAGACAATATCTCAAACGAGATGGTAATATGCTTTGCTGAATAAGACAAAAGAAAAATCACCTCTTGACGCTAACAATTTGCACCTTCAACACTCCATTACTCGTTCATCATAAGGCAGCAGGTAGAGTAACCATAGGAAGAACTGATGATGTCAAAAGAAAAAACCAAGTAGTGTCCCTCTGATCTTAAGGACGACATCAGTAGTATGACGAGAATTAAAGTATAGAGTGCCACCCAAGTTGACCCTAAACTTATTTGGGCTTCACTACGCCAATCAAGAAAGCTTTTTTTAAGAAAAGTATTTCCCTTTCTCCTTCAGGAAAAAACCTGACTACCTCCAAAGAACAAGCATAACAAATTTCCGACAAGTATCAAATTAGAAATCAAAATTAAACCATAACAAAACAACTATGTCATCGATCAAAGGCAAGAAGTAACATCTCATCTACTTTAACCAACCAAGAGCTCGACACGGTTAACACAAGTAGGAAAAACAATGTTGCATAAATTGAATACAAGACAACATTAAGAGTATCAGCTCAACTTAATCAAAAACAGATCAAAAAACTGAAAAACAGACTCTCTAAATTGTCACTGTTCTTTGCCTCACTTTAGCTTTCTCAGCATCAATAATAGACTCCATTAACTTAACAGAATTCTCCAACTCTCCTTCTCTATTCACTACCACATAATCAAACTCCCCCATATGCCTCACTTCCTCTCGAGACGTTGCAATTCTCACTAGCAAAGTCTCTTTAGTCTCAGTCTTCCTATCAATCAACCTCTTAACCAATGCATCTTCACTCTCCGCCACCAAGAACACAAACACTGCAGAATTTCTCAAAATCCTCCTCAGTGTTGCTGCACCTTGTATATCAACTCTCAACACAATATCCAATCCTTTAGCCATATGATCCCTAATTTGTTGCTTTGGTATACCCTTATAATCCCCATACACCAATGCATACTCCAACAACTCATGTCTCTCAATCATTGACAAAAACTCTTCTTTACTCGTAAAAAAGTAATCTTTTCCATCAACCTCACCCGGCCTTTTCCCCCTTGTCGTTGCAGTAACAACAAAATGAATATTCTCCCTAACTTCTCTAAGCCTTTTAATCACAGCATCTTTACCAACCCCACTTGGACCACTAACCACAATAATCAAAGGATGAGGCTCCGGTGCCAATGGCTCTGAACTAAACTGCGACCCCACCGCAGCCTCAAGTGCTCGATACAATTCCGCCTTATCAGCAGTTTCTGGGGGTGGTATAGGCACATGAGTGGGTCTTCTTCCTTCTGCCATAGCAGGAAATGATGAGACAAAACGTTTCGACACACGAATTGGCCTTTGAACCCAGTTTTTCAAGATTCTTTGTGTAGAGAGAAACTGTGGGTTAGGGTCGAAAACAGCAAAAGGGTTTGTGAGATTTCGATATAGGAGAAATGGGTTGCGGTTAGAATTCGCTAGAGAGGTGTAGAACCTGCGAAATTGCATCGAGTTTATAGGGGATGAGAGAGAAAATGCAGTGAATTTGGGCGTTACTGTAGAAATTGAGCTTGAATTTTACGTAAATGGATAGAGAATCTATCGATTCCAATCTAGGGTTTATCCAAATTCACAATTCCCAAATTTCAATCTTATACTGCAAGCTTTGGCTTCGTTTCGGGTCAGCCGTCGGTGCATGTGAGCTTCGCCGGTTATCTTAAGCATTTTCAGGCCACTTCTTAAATTATGTCAAAGGACAAATATACCCTTTCAATATTGCGATTTAGAATGGATATGCTCTCATTTAAAAAAGAAAAAAAAGGATATATATATATCTTTAAATTATCGTGAATGGTATACAGATATATATTTCATTATAATTTAGAGATATTGGTGCCCCTTCTATAAAAAAATTAGCGTTACATGTCCTTCACTCTAACGGAAGACTACATAGGAACACGTGATCAATCTTATTCGTTGATCCAATATTTAATAAATGTTGGATCGATAGATAAGATAATGACACATGCATGTCTATTAGTAAAAAAAGGTGTACATGCTTTAATATTTGGACAGCGAAAACCAATGTCCCAAAAATATGCCGAAAAATATTTACATACCATTTATAACAGTTTGAGAATATATTTGTCTTTTCTCCCTTAAAAATGTATATACAGTGTTATTAATGATTTATCACTATTATATTAATAATAATGGAATCATCTAAGCAGGTCATATAATGCATTCATTTTTAACTTTTGTCAATTTTATCAATGTCATTACGATCACTTTTTATTTTTGACATAACTTTTAATTAAAAATAAATAAATTTTGAAATGTCATTTATAATTGTTAAACGTATATTTTCAAATGTCATAAAAAATTATATAAAAGAGCACCCATTTTTTTTCTTAATTTTGTATTTATTTATTTGCATGAGTTGACTTGAAGAAATCATATCATCCCAAGGAGGATTAAATGAACCTATTAGTATTAGTCAAATATAATTAGGCTTTGTTTGTTTTTAACTAATTTTGATACAAATTATATGAAATAAAGTCAACAAGTTAACGTTATATCAATTGAAGTTTGATTCCTTTGATATTCTATGCATGTTGCATAGTGACCTAATACTATATGTTGCGTGACAATTGTTTGTTAAAATCAATGATTAGAAAAGTTATAAACATAATTTTATCGATAATTTGAATAAAATATATATTTTTTTTAAACAGCTAATTTAACTCTTAAAAATAAAAATTATTTCATACAAAAAAATCAGTATTATATATATGAACTTATACAAATTTTAAAGATCCTTCGTATCGAAAATAGAATACAAATTATACAAGATTTATTAATTTACTTTTTCTTTGCATCATTGGGCTGCACCTTGTATAATTATAATTATAATTTGTAAGCTAATATAGCCTTTTCACAAATTTATTTTTAGTTTTAAGCCTATTCGCCTTAGATAATTATACAATTGTTAAAAGCTACATTGATTCATTTTCTACCTATGTTATTTTTATTTTATATAAAAAATTAAGTATTTATTTAATCATGGATAATTTGAAACGGAATTGCACAAGAGATCAATATTTAGTCTATTTTTATTTATTTTTATGATAGAAAAATTAACGTAACATATTCAGAAAAATGTGTTATGATAGATGGTATGGACACATGAAATTGTTTAGATTAAAGAGATTCGAGATGGAGTTAACGATATTAGAGGTATGAAGACAAACTCTGGAGTCTAAAAGGTTCAAGTCGAGTAGAATCAAGATAAAATATTTGAAATGTAAATGTAGTAATTTGACACATGAAGCAAACATATAAGTGAGATTTGATACAAGAGTTGAATCAAGATAGAAAAAATTAAGAATTTGGGATTCTTATCCAAGAAAAATAAGAGTATGGCGAAATGTCATACAACATATTGGCGGGACATAGATAAGGTGAAGGATTGCTTACGGTCAAAGCTTTTTATGTGACAAGGAGATACTACTCAAACTTAAAGGTAAGTTATACAGAGTTACAATTAAAATAACTTGTTGTACAAGACATGATATTAATCAGTCAAAGATTTTAAAGTTTAGAAAATGCAAATGGCGAAAATGAGGATACTGAGATGAATGTGCGGGCATAATAGAAACAATGAGATTAGGAATGAGCATATGGAACAAAGTAGAAGTAACCTCTACATTAAACAAGGCAATGCAAATGAGATTAATATGATTTGGGCATGTGTGAATGTCCCAAAAGTGAGAGGTTATAGTGGAATTAATGACAAACCTAGTACGCCAAAAAAGTATTGAGAGATGTGATTAGACAAGATATGGCGTATCTTCAGCTAATAACACACGATTCCAGATAGAAGGGTATAAAGGTCACAAATAAGGGTATAATTAAGATTGATAGACAATTAAGAGTTGTCATATTACTAACTTATTCACATAATTGACTTGGTCGTAACATGTAACACCATGTCGATTGTAATATCAGCCTAGTCATGTAATTTGGGCTTTAGGTATATGATATCACCTATTCATATGTCTAGATGATCACACACTATTATTATGGTTCCTTTCGTATATTCTCCGCACTATTTTGTTATAAGTTGTCATGTTCCTCTCCACAATCATTTTTTTGCAATTGTTATTTTGATTTGATTGAACCGAGGATCTTTCAGAGACAATCTCTATTTATCAAAGAGGTAGTGATAAGATCTACGTACACTTTATGCCCTCACTTTGTAAGATTTCATTGATAATGTTATCAATACTTATTATTGTATTTTTCAATTCAATTTTAAAATATTTAAACATAGTACAAATTTTCAAAATTCAACTTGAAGTTGAATTTCAAAAACTCGAAAACTCCAAAAACTATCTACCCAAATTTCACTCTCAATTATTCACAAAAATTTAAAAATAACACCAATTTATAATATGAAAAAACAACTTCAAATTTTAAATATTATTGTCAACTTAAGTTTAATAATTTTTTTTTTTAATTTCACAATTTTTACGATCAAACACCCGCTAATTAATTAATTAGTAATATTTTGAATATCGCCTTTTGCTATATTGCTCTGTTTTCCCGTCAATTACGTACCCTCCCACTCACTATTCACTAGAGGCTGAAAGTTGAAACTTCACCCAACACCCTCAGCGCACGTTAGCACCAACCCTGCATTCTTCCACACCTAATTTTTATAATACGCCTCTGATCACCTCGCTCCATCCCCCACCCCCAACCTCCGCCCTTGGGTTGGTTTCGCCGACGACCGCAGAGCTTCATCGAGGTGATACGACGCCGTTCTACCGTCGTGGGACGGTATATATTTGGATATCTTCGTCGGATCCCTTTCATTTATTAAGAAAAAAATTCAAAATACCTCTCTCTGCTTCTTCTTAAAAGAAGTTCCTTTGATTTTCTCCTTAGTGATTTGATCGGAATTTAGTTAATTCAGTAGCTTGAAAGTCTTTGAATTTCCACTGATTGAAGTTTGCTACGATTTCGAATTTTGAATTGGTTAGTGTATATAGTAAGTGCATATGATTCAAAGGAGCTGTTAATTGGGAAGAAATATCTAGGGTTAGGGTTTGAGTTTTAGGGTTTTATGATTGTTATGATGATTTGACAATGGTGAGGTTATTGGGATTGACGAGAGGAGAGCCGGCCGAGTCACCTCGGGAGGTAACTCGGACAATCCCAACAAGTGAGGATATTGGAGAGAGTGGTTGGCTTATTAGATTCTTTGATTCTGCGTTCTTCTGTGAGTGGATCGCTGTCAGCTACCTTTATAAGCATGATCATCCTGGTGTTAGGGACTATTTGTGTAATAGAATGTACACACTGCCACTTTCTGGCATTGAGAGCTACTTGTTTCAGATATCGTATATGATGGTTCATAAACCGAGCCCCTCGTTGGATAAGTTTGTGATTGATGTGTGTTCTAAGTCATTACATATTGCCCTTAAAGTGCACTGGTTTTTGATGGCGGAGTTGGAGGATTCAGATGATAATGAGGGGATAAGTAGGCTTCAGGAGAAGTGTCAGATTGCTGCTACTTTGATGGGTGAGTGGCCACCTTTGATAAAACCTCCAAACACTTCATCTAATCTATTGGGAAAGAATCAGATGCTTAATAAGTTATTGTCTTCAAAACAGAAGCTATTATCCTTGACATCTTCACCACCAGCTGTACAGCGGGCTCTGTCGTTTTCACCCTCAGGGAGTTCATTGCCACAGGATGATGGTCTTGGAAGTAAGATATCGTCGCCTGAGGAAAATAAGATTTTTAAGAAGTTGATTCCGGGTCTAAAAGTAAGAGATGCATTGCTCTTCAGGAAATCCGTGGAGAAGGATGATGAAGAACCAGAAAAAGATAGTTTTTTGAAGAGACTTTTGAGGGATAGTAGGGATGAAGACGTGAGGAAATCAGCGGAAAAGGATGATGCAGAACCGGAGAGGGATGGTTTTTTTAAGAGGTTTTTAAGAGAGAGTCGGGATGATGATAGTAGGAAATCAGTGGACAAAGATGAAGAGGAGTCGGAAAAAGATGGATTTTTTCGCAGACTTCTTAGTAATAGTAAAGATGATTATGCTAGGAAATCTGTGGATAAGGATGCAGAGGAATCAGAGAAGGATGGTTTCTTCAGGAGGCTTTTGAGTACCAACAAAGATGATGATGAGGATGTGCACTCAAGTACAGATGGATTTTTCAAACGTATGTTTCGTGATAATAAAAATGATTTGGAGGATAAAGTAGTTTCCAAACCTGTTGAAGATGATGAAAAAGACGGTTTTTTCCGGAAGTTTTTAAAGGACAAAAAATTTGAGGAGAAGAAGGATGTAAGAGAAAGGAATGAAACACCTGAAAAATCAACAAGGAGTTCTGAAGATGATGAAAAGGAAGGGTTCTTCAAAAAGATTTTTAAGGAAAAATTTGAGGATAAGAAAGATGGTAATGACAGGGCTGATGACGATCTTAGGAGGCATGCAAATGGTGAGGAAGAAGAGCCTTCAGATTTTCCATTGTTTCGTAGACTATTTCGAGTGCATCCAGAGGATTCAAAACTGTCAGCATCAAATGAAAGCAGTAATGGTGGCAGTTTTCTTGAGAGCAGTCCTGGAACTGAGAACTTTTTCCGCAAGCTGTTTAAGGATCGTGACCGTTCAGTTGAAGATTCAGAGCTCTT